AATCTCGACTTTTTTTCGTTTTGATGTTCCTCTCCTTCTGTGAAGCTTGAAGTCAACTAAAGGGCTAATGATAACTATCATAAAGCCTGCCATTTGATATAAATAAATGATATTTCTTTTGAATCAGTCATGTTTGAATTTGGAAAGTGCCTAACTGGTCTCTTTCCCCATCTCTTTACCTCCCTTTTTCACTTTATTTGAGATTTGGCTATGGGGCTTTTGATTATAAAATAATTAGATTTCGTTCGAATAATAATTATCGCATTGATTCACAAGATTACAATGGAGATGTGTGTGGGATGGGCAGTGTGGGTCGTTTTGACACACCTGCAGTCATGGCTAAGCAAAGGCGCTATTGGTTAGTAGAAGGGGTTGAAAAGTAAAAGAATAATGTTCCTGTCCGAAATCAGGATCATTTGATTAAACGAAAATGTAGCATTTTGTGTTTAACTTACTGGCTTTTGTTTGCAATCGCTTTATGGGTAACCAATAGGTTTCCATTTTACAACTATGCCCATTCATTTCCATTTAATTAGAGTCGAAATTAACACGCAAATTATAATGTTGTTTACACTATATCTCATTTGTTTAAAGCATTAAATATTATGATGAAAGGGCTTCAATGTAATAACTTCATTTTAACTATTTATTTCATTGCAGAGAAATTAGTGCCCTATATTCATATCAGTACATACTTAGAAAGTACATAAAGATGTTTAAAATTGTAAAATGAACAGGATGTAAACATACGCCTTAATCCATAAGAAATTGCAATAGTTCTATCACTTAAAGAAAATTGAACTGTTTCTGCATTTAAGGAAACTATTCATTTGAACTAGACGAGTTTTGTTATACTTAATCTGATGAATATTTAAATATTCTACGTTTCATGAAATATTAAGAACGTTGAGTGTCAAAATACGATTTAGTTAATAAATGAGACCAACTTGGCATTCCTTCATGATTTTAAGGTCATGCCCTTTAAATAGAAATTTACGTTTCCCAACTTGAACTCTGAAATTTTATGAAATGATTCATTTACATCTCAAATGCCTAAAAAGGGCTTTCCTAAAGTATTTTTATAGTTAAAACGAATTAATTATCAATTCTTTATGTTGCCATTCAAAATGGCAGTCTTAAGGGGTTATTCTGGTCTAAAAAAACCGAAAATATTTTTTTGCATATTTTCATAGCTTAATTATTCAAAATTATGTTCACGAGAGGATTTTTTAAAATTCAAATTAGTTTTGGAGATATAAATATTTTGCTGAGCAGGCATCCAAATCGGTTGGGCTGCAACTAATCGAACAAAAGACATAATGAGTTCCCCGACTACCTGAATCTATATTTCTTAGTAAGCCCTTTTGTTCCGTTATATCTATCTATCTACATTTTTACATATATTTATGTATATATATTTCACGGTAATTGATTTACGGAACAGGAAAACACCAGTTTTACGAGTGCATCAGCAGCAAAATTGAGGAAATCAAATGATGGAGAATTAATTATAGATAATAATTACGGTTACTGTGTTTTGGAGTTTTTCACGGTCTTTTCAGCAATTTCTTTGTTTATTTCGTGTACTACATACAACAACGAGATTATATTTTCAAGAAAGGCTCAACGCGGACTCGGGTTCAAAATTGCATTACAATGCAGTTGCAATAGTCTACGCTACATTCCACCATGTCCATTCGTTGACAAATCCTTCGGAGTTTATCGTCAGAAGAGTTATTGATTCGATTTTTGGGTTCAGAAACTCAAAATAATAATGAGTCTCTAAACTCGCTGATATGGACTTTCTCTCAAAAGCACATCCATTCCGGGTCTCAGATCATTGAAATGGCAATTATTTGTACCAATATTGAAGATACTGACAATTATGGGAGTGAAGATTGGTTTAGAAGCGCATGCATTTGCTATCAGACGAGACAACACTCGGATTGACCGCTCCAAGATACGAGCCTAAAGCGCATCAAAGGAGGCCAGAACTGCTCGAATAGAAAACACAAACGCCGAAAATAGTTTTTTCGAAGTCGAGAAAGGTCCGATATATGCAGCAGAAATGGCAGATTGAATTAATATAAGTTAAATATATAATTTTATGACTTAGACTGCAAAATATTTTACTTGAAACTTCAAACGCGTTTTTCTCAAAACTCTTCTTTTGATTTCTCAGATTTTTGCCCAACCAATTTACTTGAAATTTTAAGAGAGTCTTCTTTAGGGACTTGACTATGTCCGGAACTACGGTCATCTAAAACTTTTAATTTTTACTATTTTTAAAAAATTGAAGAATGCTCAAAATGTGGTACAAAAATGGTTTTTTAGACAGTCGCCATTTTGTAAAAAAATATGGCTAAACTTTTCCGTAGTTCCGGACATAGCGACATTATTTTAGATTGCTGATATTGGATTGCTTGGAGAGCTAAAATCGTGGCTATGGTCATGCACCATATTTTTGGGACGCCCCACTCCATCAACTGATAAATAACAAAATTTAAAATTTTTTATTTTATAGTTTTTTATATGCTTCTAAGGTGAATAAATAATGTATAAAAAAATTGATAATAAAAATATTGCTTGCTATTTACAGCACTTCAAAAATGACCTAAAATTCATGCCTCTAGACAAGAATACCCCCTTAAGCTCTTTTGGCTTAGACTGCAATCTAAAGTTGCAGATTCCATTATTTAGTTGTTTATTTGCTCGTTTCTAAAGGCTTGATTACTAAAAAGGTCTAATTTTAAGTGGAATAGGAATACTTCTACAGCAGTACTAGCATTAGTTATGAAATTGGCGATATCGCCTAATTTTAGCTGACACAAGAAAGTTAAAAAGAGGCGTTCTTAATTAAAAACTTATTCATTTCCACGTTAGTTCTATTATTATTTGGACGTTTGATACAAGTATGGAATCTGGATAAAATAGTTAGCGTTTGTGCAAAAATAGTCTTGGTGTGTGCTCTGTGAACCAATTAGAATGCGCCCCTTGAAAATCAATCACGTACTTTTCAGCCAGCATGGGGTAGCAGTGGTCACTACTTGAGTAAAGAAAACGGGTTATTTACGAATTGTTTTATATATTGGCAACATTTTCGCAAAATAATGTTTGCATTACGGGGTGTGCGATAGACTTACCTCCACGTGATGCAACCTGGGCAACGTATACTCATACGGCAAAAAAGTCTATTAACAGGCAGTTGACTTCTGACTTCAAACTATCATAACTCCACTGTATGTCATATTGCACAGCTTTCACAGTACTCATCTCACCTTTTCTCTGCCTTTGTGTCCGTCTGTCTCCTCTACATCTGTGATTCACTCTTCTGTTCCCCCTCCCGAATTGTTATCACTTTGATTTTCCTCCCTCTGCGAAGCTCGAAGTCAGCTAAATGGCTAATGATAAATATTCAAAACGTCTGCCATTTGAAATAATAATAATGTTTGCATTATTTAATGCATAACACCTTTGTCGCTTTATTATGCATAATTTAACACAAGCCGTCACATATTCCATTCAATATGATAAAATCCCTTCCTTAAGCTTCTCACATATAAATATGTACGTTTTCTAAATTATAACAATTGTAATCAATAATTTTTATTAATTTTCATGGAATTTTTGAAATTTATCTATAATTATATTTAAAATACACCATATTATTTAACATATATTCTATCAAATGACAGCCTTTATGATATTTATTATTAGCCCCGTATTTACTATCTTTATTAGTTTCTGTTCTACTTTAACCTTCATATACGATGTTCCAATTGGCCCAAATGACTATTTCAAGGGCGTCTGATTTAAGCTGATCTGGCGCGTCGTGTTTCTTGTTCGATTCTATAACAATACATCCCTAGATCTCAACTTTGACTAATTCAGTAAGTTTGACTAAGTTATATAATTCTGTTTGTGCTTAGAAAGCCTGTCTACCTTTAAAACATCAGGTCTGTTGACCAGAGGAATACGGAATAAGTCATCTTTCTCTGTAGTAAATTAAGTAAATACACAGAGAAATGGCAGTTTTGTCACCACCACAGACGAAAGGAAAATGGTGGGTAGAGAAATGTGAAGTGTGTGTAAGGGAGAAAAGGAAAAAGAGGGAGAAGTTTACCTATGAATAAGGCACTCGACTACTTGGAGTTTAGCATGGAGAAAGGTTTATTCGAAAGTTAGTGCTGGAGAGAGGGAATAAGTTCACATTTATGAGATAAGTGGAGTATTCAAAGAGGAGAGGGGTTTATTCCTCAGCTGCCTCCTTCGCTGGTTCACCTTCCGCTGCAGGTTTCAGTTGGTCCCGGAAATCCACCTTCTAATGTGGAAAAATGTAGTCTTATTACGAGGCCAACAACATGCACATATTACACAAAATTCCGCCTTCCTATTGGCTTAATTTAATTGCCAGCTGATTGGTCAGAGTGGTGGATAGGAAAGACGTGATCGATGGTCTTGTTTTCCGTGCCGTGAAGCGTTCGATTTAAAGGTACAAAATTAACTAAAAAACTATACATCTAAAAATGTACTTACTGGAAGATATAATGACAGGAAAATTGGTGGCCAATTTTATCTAACACTTATAAACTAGAGTGCCACGAAATGAGTTAAAATGCAGTTTATAGCATGAAAAGATTGAATTTAGTTACTTGTTATTTGAATGAGATTATTGCCTTGTGAAGATCTTAAAAAACGTGAAACCGTTTCCACACTTTACACTTTGGATGGTTGTGCGAAAAAATTCCCTGTTCGCAGGATCTAGCTTTCAGGCAATCTTCTTACCATTCGAATGATTCGTTAAACGAACTTATATCTAATAAACTTATCTGAAGCTGATGACACTACACCATCGATCATTTATTGACATTCGCTCTTGTTAAAAATCCAAAGTTTATAAAACCATGAAAATGCTTATTTAATCACACTACGAATGTAATGATATGCCACGGGAAAATACTTGGTGCCACATCATACTTATAATGTCAATTCGCATTCATTTAAACACACAAACTTACATGGGAGGCCTCATCCTTCTCTTCAAGGGCAAATTTGTTTTGTCCGGTGGATTTTAGTTGATTTCGGAAGGCGGCCAAACTCTTCTCCTTCTTTTCAATACGAGCGAGTTGGCTCTCAGTCTTGGAAACCTTCTTAAGCACGGGTTTAACGCTAATAAGTGAATGAACATTAGCATTGATCCCTTAATTAAAGTAGCAATAGTAGAAAAAAAACTTACAATTTGCCTTTAACATCATTGACCTTCATTGTGAGTTCATTAATCTCGAGGTCTTGGCGCCGGAGTTTCATCTCCCAGTCAAACTTCTCCCCCTCCAGCTGAGCCATTCGGGTATGCAGTTCGCGGACCTTCTTTTGAAGTGCAGCTTGAAAAAATAGCAGCATTGAATAAGAATGGTTCCAGTGTTTGAGTTAATCTTTCTTTAAAAGTAAAACCATACCGTCATCAAGTCCGTCCAATTGAAGAGGCTGAACTCTCGATTTGAGGTAGTTGTCCTTCTCTTCCTGCCTCTTCTTCATTTCGGCTTTCATTTCATCTGAAGCCTTTTGCATGATCAGTTGCTATAACATGAAAGAAGAAGTCCATTTAAATTTGATTCACGACTATATATCGATTTTCCCCAAAACCAATTATCGGCATACTTTGAGTAGTCGTTTCTTTTCAGGTGAAAGACCACCCAAACCCTTGCGCTTCTGACCAGGTTTGCGCTGTTTCTTGGCAGCCTCTTCAGCCTCACGCTTAGCCTTCTCCTGCAGACATCAAAGTGAAAGGTTAGATTCATTAAAATTGATATCAGGTCTTGGAAATCATGCGATAAATAGCCTTAAGTCAAAGCTGACTTCATGATTATGAATGTGCTCTGTGAAGAAGCAAAGCCGTTTTGAATGATTGTCCACAGCCAAGGTTGGATTTTTCGTGCAGTGTGCAGCGCAAATTATTTGTTTTAATGATTAAAGTAACTACCTCTTGTTTTCTTTGACGTTCGGCTGCAGCCTAAGTTATTCACAGATACAAGAAAAAAGGAAAGTAAAAATCCCATCCACTTTCTCAATTGACATGCCCATGCAGAAAGGTTGCAATGGCTAATGCATATTTGTTGAACCCAAAAGCCTGCATGCATGGTTTATCCTAATTCCAGCTAACAAATTGGCTTCATTGTTTCACCCGGAATAAAGAGCAGTCGAACAACTCAATCCTTCGCGACGGCAGTGATATTAAAACAGAGGGGAACAACATTGGTGTATGGATTCACAATTGAAATCTCATAGTGCTGTGTGTTTCGAAAACAGGAAGTGTGAAAAATTGTGCACAGTACGACAATTAGGAAGCGTGTGTGCGGAATTGAACATTCACCGCAAAACTGTAAAAGGAGAGAATTTGCTCATGCACGCATGCACCAACCTCTTCTCTTCTTGCCTCTTCTTCCCGCTTTTTGCGTTCCTCCTGAAATCAATTTTGTCAATGTCGTTAAATTGGCATTGAATGTAGGCTCTCTCCTTAGCTTTATCACTTCTCAACTCACCTGTTCCCTGCTGTTTTGGACTTCATCCTAAAATAGTTACAGATGAGTAAGTAAGCTCCTTAAAACAGGCCTTTTTTGGTCAACGTGGAAACTCCGTTAATAGCTCATACGATCGTCCACAACAAAACAAACAACAAAGAAATGCGGAACTGTCAACTCAAGCCAACAGATGCTAACTTCATTATTACCGGGATTTTCTCGTTTACTTCCTCAGCAATCTTGGCACTATCTACCACATTAATTTTCACTTCTTCCAGCGCTTCCTCCGCCTTATCCTCTTCTTCCTCAGTCTAGAATGAGACAAGTTTTACTCGGCAAGGTGTCACACACCAAGATTCCATTCACGACACGCACAAAAGGAAGGCAAATTGATAAGTAGATCACCCAATACTCGAACTCACAACAACCAAAGTAGAAACAAAATTCGAAGATGCTTATTCATTAGCAGAAATAGATAGAATAGAACTGCCACATATTAATTAATTTAAGTGAGTGGAGAAACAAAGAGTCGGTATGAATCACCTATTCAAATTAAATTCCTCCTTGTCTTACCTGAGAACTTTATGAAGGAATCCTTCACAAATATATACCCATCAAAGGGGGAAACTACTGTGATTAATGCGAAATGGAAACATTCTTTTCTTACATTGCCTTTTCTGAAAGTGTATCACTTTATTTAACTTTAGCAAATGGCAACTAGACTATATCTCAAAAACAAATTGCATGCAGACAGCTTTAGAAAGCGAATTAACAAGCGCTTGAAATATCTGATCTGCCTGTTGTAACAATGCTCTATTTCGGATGATTGGGGTGGGCGATAGACTTACCTCCACGTGGTACACCCTGGGCAACGTAAACTCACACGGCAAAAAGTCTATCAACCGGCAGTTGACTTCTGACTTCAAACTACCATCACCCCACTGTATGTCATATTCGACTACTTTACGGTACTCACCTCACCAGGACAAATCATGCTCTGTACGTCAAGAAATTGTAGCAAATGCATTCAACATTACAACACCAAAGTTTCACATAGATCGATCAACAATCCGAGTTCATTCACCTTACGATCAAGCTGTCTCGGTGCAAGCAAATGAATTAGAAAAATCTCAGTTACAGACAAACATAGCAACACTAAGTTTTACCTCAGATTCTTCCTGTAAGTTTAAATATAAATCTTTAAAAATTACACGCATACGTTTTAAAATCGAACAACAAAGGCAAGCTACATCGACGATGATGATGATGATGTGTGTGTGTGTGAATTAGGCAAAAGCGTGGTTTACAAAAGATATTCGCCAAAAGACAAGATTTGCTTAGCAACATCAAGTTGGCTGATGTTTCAAAAAAGAATCATTTAAAAAGCTGTTACCTCAGAGACTTCCTAAATAATTTTAAGAGAAAAGTGAGCAATTTAAATTTGGAAGTGGGTATTTGCAAATTAGATTATATCAAAATAATTTACAAAAAATAATCAGATTCTTACCTCGGATTCAGATCCCTAGATGTTGAAAAAGCAAAATAAAAATCAATATATTAGTTGTGAGAACCATGTAATAATGATATATATATAAAGAATTAAACAGAAAATCTATCATAAAATATATTACCCATCGTTATTTAAGTAAAGTTTTGAAACATTTAAGGCAGACAGAAATATATTTCCACTCACAGATTCACTAAAATCAAAATGGAAATAAATCATTAATTAAAAGCATTTTAATGTTATTTAGCTCAAGGGTACGTGGATTAGAAATTTTAAAATTGAAACCCATTAAATAAACTAATACAAAATATAGGAAAATCAAAACTAAATTGCATTATTGAAGTAAAAAGAATAATGAATACTAATATTTCCTGCCAAATTTTTGTGTCATTGCTTAACTTATTTCAATCAATAAAAAACTAATCGATAATGCTTAAACGCTATTAAATACCACTTACGTTCGGCTTTCGTCGTCACTCATGTCGTCAATATAGAAGGTGAAGAAACTGAACTATAAAAGATGAAGAGAATTGAAACTGGGTATAATCCAAACTCAAATCACAGTGAAATAGGAAGCAATAGAAGACCAACCTCCTAAGGTGGCTAGCGTGGCAACTGATGTTCGACCGTTTCGCTTTCAAGACGATTGCATATGAAGCAGCTGCCAGCACACACAGGGAACAATCCCATTGGACGCCTGCCTTCCTTGCTGCCCGTTTCATCGATCGCACGACACCGGGATTGCAGATTTGTTTTTAAAGTTCATCTGTGGGCGAAAATCAATAGAAATGCGAGCGTTTCTGCGCCCACACGGCCGCACCTAGGGTGCACGTCCGCAGAATTGCACTTGTGCTGGTGGTGCCTTTCAGTTGGCAACCCTGGTAGAAGAGATAGGTAAGCATGGTTGCGAACAGCATTTCACGGGGATTATGATTTCTATTTCTGCGTGCATTAGGCACAATCCTACGTGCGGGGAATTTAGACAGTCACGCAGGTTAGAAATGTGTTTGCTTATAAATATTTTAGATGCTATCCTGTGCTAGTGAATTAATTGAATCGCTGTGCTATTGAAGATTTAAAAATCCAGCTGTTGGAAAGTAAGTGATTGCGGTCCTGATCATCACCGTTACAATTTTTCACCATGGCAATGCAACAGGCTTAAACGAATTTATTCGTGGGAATGAATTTGCGTTTGTTGAGATTAACGTGGCAAAACTGAGATTTAGAACAAGTTTACAATTACTTAGATAATCAAAATCCTTATTTCACTCCAGTCATGGAGAACTTGGCTTACAAGTCACACAATAGTTCGTATGTGAAATAATTTCATTTTTGGGTTCATGGATGGTATAGGTTCGGTAGGTGATCTTGAAGAGTGATAAAACAAGACTTACAGCGTTTAGTGCACTGTGCAAAAATGAATTAACACATCTGAACTAGAATTGTTCCTCTTTCGAAGATGGATCGGATGGCCAAGAGGGGAAAGAATAGTGTAAAAACTAAAAAAAATTATTTTGAGATCAGTGGGATATGCGATAGACTTATCTTCTTGTAATGCACCCTGGGCAACGTTTACTCATACGGCAAAAAAGTCTATTAACCGGCAGTTGACTTCTGATTTCTAGCTATTATGACCCGACACTATGCAATATTACACCACTTACGGTACTCATCTAGCCTTTTCTCTACCTTTGTGTCTATCTGCCTGTCTGTCTCCCTTACATATGTGAATCCCTCTTCTGTCCCTCCACTCAAATTTTCCCCACTTTGATGTTCCTTCCCCTCTGTGAAGCCCGAAGTCCCTTAAAGGGCTAATGATAAATATCAAAACGCCTGCCATTCGAAATAAATAAATTTTAAGATCAGTTGTCATGATAAAGGCATTGGAGAAATCACCCTAACTATGCAATCTAGATGCTTATAGTCGAACGAATAAACCTAATTTAGGAAAAAAATTGGCAGCGAAAATATGTATCTAAATGCTTTTGGCAAATGCGTCTCAAATACGGTGATGACGAATCACTGCAATACACGGCTACAAATGACTCATCGTACTTATGATTGGTATTGCCTCCATAATACCTGATTGATTTAGTGATCATTATCGAGGAATAACAAGTTGCTTAGGGCAAATGATATTGGTAATTAGACATATCACCGAACAGAAAAATATTGCAACCCTACCTCCCAAGATATCAAAGGCGGCATAGTTTGCCAAAATCAGGATGCTTGAAAATATCAGAGAATTTGTTCTTACTAATTCACTGTCATTGATCTCGGGTAGCCGATATTAAAGACTATTTAATCTATTAGGTAAAGTGTTTATAAAACAGGTTGGATTATTCCCCTCTGCTCAGACATTAGCTCAAGGCCATTGTGAATATGTTTTTTCAGGGGATTGAAAATGCATAGTCTGACCTGTTAGCAGCCTAGGAGTCGGCACACAACCCTTCTGGACCAAACTGGAGTACTGAACGAACAAATAGTTTAGTCGTACTGAATGCTTAGTGTGATCTTCAGCTGCATCAGACCACTTGATCACCGATCGCTACTGTTCATTGTAGAGTTTAGCGGTCATAAAAAATACGTCAGTCTGTTCACATCACTTGTAATCGCTAGACATTTTAGCATTTATTTTCATCTTTCAGATGGCTTTTAGACGGTTTCTAATTGCCTGCTTTATCTTGACGGTACGATTTAATAAAATTCTATTTAGAACTCTTTACCTAACAAGCTCTTCGATTAGGTTG